GAACCAGTTTTCTGAGTTGTCTCTGGGGCCATCTCAGCCTGTAAAGACATGTATATTTGTAACATAATAATTTTAGATTATTATTGATGGCATTTAGATTATTATTGATGGCATTTGTATAATAAATTACCTGTTCCTTTTTTGTTTTCTTCTTAGGGACAACATCACTGCCTCTCTCTGACTCAGATCTGCTTCTTACTGACCGTCTCTGTAGCTTTCTCTCCTGAGAACCTAATTCACAAACAAAGAAATTCTCAACAATTTTTTTAATAAACATAATTTTAAAATTAGGATTAGTCATAAAAACACATATGGGAGGGCGTCACTGGAATGTACTGACCATGGGGACTGCTGGGGGGAGACCCGGGGGAGGAGCTTGGTTGTGCACATCCTTCTTCACTTTGACTCACAGGAGAGTCTCTCCTCTCATCAGTCTCAGCCTCCTCCTCTGCCTCTTCGCCATCCTCTTCATCCTCCTCTTCTTCGGGACTAGGCTCTGGTTTAGCCTGGCTGTCCTGCTGAAGACATTTGTAACTAAGACTTTAAATTTTCATTAGCAATTTCTATTAAAAAATAATTATTTACTAAGCATTTTACAGATGTTTGTTTGCTTTTTCATATGATGCCATTTTTGATCTTGGATTTATTGATACTCAAAATCTCACTGTTACTAACCTCAGGAGAACAGTAGCCCAGATCTGGCTGTCGGGATTCTTTCTCTACTGGCTCCTCTTTTTCACTTTCCTTTTTTGGGGAGGATACCGTTTTTTTCTGCAGAAGAGGCCAATCACATTTTGTAATTTCCACATTTAACCTTTTCATTGTTATGGAGAGAGGTAACAATTTTCTCGCTGCTGCAGTTTTCCAGGCTCTGACAGGTGGAGGGGATTCTTCTTGAGTTTGTCCATCTGAACTGGTTTTGTGGTTCGGTGATGCTGGCTCGTCCTTTTGACTGCCCTCATCATTTGACGATTGGTTATTGTCTGTATTTGAAATGCTGCACTGTCTACGAGGCTGCAGTCGACGAGGAACTGCCTCTCGGTCCGGTGACTTGACTACTCCGTCCTCCCTTTTATTCAATGATCCACTGGATCGCCGGGTGCGTTTTTCTGGTTTGATGTTTGGTTTTTTGGAGGGTGGTGCTTCATTAGGATCAGGGTCAACATAGATGAAAGTGTAGTTGTCAATTCTCTCTTGCCGTGTCATTTTAAAGGCATCTTCAGCATGGCCTACACCAACCTCCCATTGTGCACGCTCACGTTGAGGGATAGGCTTCAGGAGCTGTAATTAAATTTAAATTAACAATTATCTTTAATTGTAATCAGAAATCATGTGTGTGAAAAGAACAAATGTGTACATCTATTGATTAAAACATTATGTAACCCCATTGCAGAATGCCATAAGTAAAGTATCTGTTCTTGTTGTAAATCCATTTACCTTTTGTTTCTCCACTTGGTTTGTGGTTTTGCGCAGCGTTTCAGCTTGAAGATCATCAAACTGCTGCTTGCCCTGGTACGTAACAATCCTTTTCTCGTGGATCCATGCACGTTCAGCTACACTCCCAAAAAACTGAACATGATACTCCCTGTGACCTGTGGAAAAACATCAGGTGATTACAATCAAAATTAATAATCTAAATTACACAGAATTTAAGCCATAGTTAAAATGTGTTTGTTAATGTTGAGCTCACCTCTTGTGTTGATGCGGGTGTGAACCTTCATCTGTGGGTCAGACGAGACCATACAAGGCCACCAGGGATAGGTCCCAACCTTGGACCACACCAGGTCTCCAATTACAAACTCCTTGCAGAAGCCCGTTTCCTGGATCACAGAAGGGTGGTGAACTTTAACAACCTGAAACAAGACATTTTAATTAGACCAAAATAAAAATATGATTAAAATCTTCAATCTTTAATGACCTGTTGTGACTTTGCTTTAGGCATCTTTGGTTCAGCTTTGATAACTGTCTTTTGGGGCTTCCCCGGCTGTGCTGTGGGTCCTTCTCTTTGTGGGAGCAGGAGTTGAGTGTCCTCTGTCTGGCTGGTTGTACCGCTGTGTTTTGTACACTGGTCCAAGCTATTTTGCTGAACATGCTGCTGCAGCTTGGCGGTCTTTTTCCTCTTTTCCTTTTTCCTTTCATGTCTGCGCTGCATCTGACCAGCTGTCTTTTTCTGCGACTCCTTCTGCACAAAAGTGAACACATGCATTGAATATAGTGTGAGACATCATCTAATGTTTCACAAAAAATAACCTTCTATGCACAAATTTTGCCTTTCAGAAAACACTTATATTTCATTAGAAATCATTGAGACCCATGAGACAGATAAAAAAAAAAAAAATCATACTTAAATTAATATATTGTACCTGCAGCTCTTGGAGCAGATCTCCGCACAACGCCGACTCAAAGAGCTCTTTGCCATTCTGATAAGTTTTAATTATTTTCAGCTTGATCTCTGGGGAGCTGGTTTTCTTCAGGACACTACTGGGTGCATTAGCCAGTGCATGGGATGGCTGAGATGAGGGGGTACTGTCCACTAGGGAAGGAGGTGGACTGGATGAAGGCAGATGCAGGGGCGGCGGTGGGGGCAGAGTATGGCTCATGATGTGGGGTGTGTGGGGCAGGTGATGCTGGGAGGGAAGTGGTGGAGGGGAGCTGTGCTGATGGATGTGAGGTTGGCTTGTGTGGTAGTGCGAAGCATGGTGCGTATGGAGGTGGTGGTGATGTGACTGATGTTGGTGGTGGATATGGGAGTGATGTGTGGGCAGAGGAGGGGATACAGGGGACAAGGGTCTCTCCTGAAGACCAGGACCCCTCAAGACAGTCCCCTCCCCTGGTAAGAGGCCATGCTCTCCATAGCCTCGGATGGCTCCATAGCCATTCGCTGAGCCATTTGGAAACTGTGAGTACAAGGAAAACTTGGTCTGTGGCTCATAAAGGCCCAAACTAGCCGGGTAGCCATTGGGAACCTGAGGCATGTCCTCTGAGGCAGATGATGGGTAGGAAAACTCAGCATCCAGGGCAGTGTTATATGAGGGCCCATCCTCGCCAGGGTCACTACCAGTGTCACAGGTGCCTTCCTGTCTGATGTTTGCCGAGTCAATAAGCTGAGGGGGTTGCTGAATTGTATTTCCCATGATCCCTTGCATGAAAGAGAAGGAGAAATCCATTGTTGAGCTCCTGCATCCTTAACTGTCTTTTTCTTTGACTGGACCTGTTAATACAAAAAACAACAACATGATTATTTTGGGTAAGGTATCAGTATCTTAAATCAATATGGATGACAAGTTGAATGACAAGATGCATTGGTGTGTAGTTCACAGATTGAAATGTACAACCAAATTCTCATGCTCATTGTGCTCTGAACTCAGGGAGGGTTGGGTTTTTCCAGTGAATGGTTAGATAATTAAATGTGGTTTTGCATAGACCTTTTGTGTATCTATGGGAGCATAGATACGTAGGCTATAAAAAATAACACAAGGCGACTTATCAATGGTGTTCCTTATAAACGGGGCTGCCCAAAGCTGGCAGAGGGTAACTGTGATGAAACTGGCATATGATAATTAGCAGTCATTCACTCCACGCACATTACAAAATAATAACTTGTTGCCAAATGTTGGTAAACAAGCAGTTCTATTAGCCCAGACAACATAAGGGCGACTGCGCTGACCAAATGTTTCAGTGAATGCTCTTTTAGCTTTCTGCGTTATTAGCCTACCACAGCTACCTGGCATCAAAGGACCAGTCCTCAAATACGATATTGCTAGAAAGGAAACACGCTCCTAAAACACACTTGCAAAGTTAATGTGTAATACAGTTTATTATTATGTAATGCTTGGACGAAATTGTTATTACAATGTCGTACACCACACATTGGAGATGATTTTAAGCTAATGTTGCTAGGCTAGCGTTCCATTGCCAATATGGCTGCCTTTGCCCCTTTAAATCAAATTGTCTGGCGTGATTAAACCACCATCACGGGCGTTTTTGTGAAAATGTGACTGCAAACACAGAGCTGGTAGAATAGATAATGCATGTATAGACCGTGGTAGGACAGTAACATGCAGTAGTGGTTAGAGAAAACACGCTTGTGGCTAGGGTGAAGACCAAAGGAGCATAGAGAGCACGGATTGATGCCGAGCCTAGAGATGCAGGGGAATAAAAATGTCAGTACCTTCAGCGTGTCCCATTCTAAACACATACACCAGCCAGCACCGTTTCCTCGCTTATTGTAGAGGGGAAAACAAAAATGAAGATACTCCTTTTATGTAGTTAAACCGCGGGCCTTCCTTTTCGTTTTGGTTTTAACGCAATTCTCAACAGAGAGGAGGAGGGGGTGTTACGCTATTTGCTCGCTACCCAATCCCTTTGCTTGGCTCTTCCTCTATGTAAGGGACAAGAGCAATTCGAAAATATCTCCAATGTGATTTTTCAGCTATATTCCGACCTGTGCTTTATTCCTATTATCCTATCTTTCAATAGCTCAATCTAGTCTTA